ATGGTGGGAAGGTAACAGCATTCCATGTTTAGTCACATTGGTCACGTGACCACGGAAACTGCCTTCGGACAAACGCTGGCTCTACGGCTTGGAAACGGGGATGAGCACCACCCCCTAGAGTCAGACACAACTAGACTAAATGTCAAGGGGAACCTTTACTTAAAAACACAATAACAATAATTTAAATAAAAACAACATAAACAACAGCACCAAGAGGCAGAAATTGTGAAATAAAATACAGCACAAACATAAACTAGCAGAGCAGCAAAGGAATGCCTTAAGCAGGGGTGCCAAAAAAGAAAAAAAAAGGCCTCACTATAAAGCACCGTTTAAAAAAAAGTATTTTCAATGTTGGGAGGGAGGGAGCCAGGCACAGCTGTACTGGCAATTGGTTCCAAAGTGTTGGTGCCACAGCAAAGAAGGACCTATGTCTAGTGTATGATTTCCTGGCCTCCCTTAGACTGACAACCTGGAGGATCATGGCCTGAGAGTAGCTAGTGAAGTGGGTAGACGTGGCTTTTTGATTAGCCTCTTTGGTAAAGAACCTCATTAGCAAAACATCCTGACAAGAAGAAAAATGATCATTCTAAAATGAAATGTCCTCAACTGGCATTTGGTAAACTAGTTTGCTTTTATTTTGCAATTGATCAGTTTAGAGACAGCATGACTGTGTTTCTGTATTCATTGTCTGGGACGCATAGCTTTGACAGATGTGTCATTTGAGACATAACACTGTAAGAGGAGGACATTAGGATTGCCCTAATGTATGATCCAACCTGAAATTTTAAGAAAGTTACTTTTTCTGTTCTCCTTTCGTGGTATGTACTTAGGGAATATGAATAAAGTACTAATTAAGACAAGCAGTTCTGGAAGACTGGTTGGCTAATTCTAAATATTTGTATCCCTTTTCCCATGAAATTAGTTTTCAAAATGGCTTACTAGCTCTGTTTAATGAATGATTAATAATTAATAGAACAGTTCAAACAAACTAAATAGTACAAATATGTTACAGTACAAATATAATTAAGAATTACTTTGAATCAGTCACTATTAACAGATGTTACAAGCTTGAGTGAACAGGATGGATATAGAATTGCATCTAAATGTATTAGTACACTATTTAGGAATCAAATGCAAAAATGTCTTACAAAAATCCAATCCTTTCTAAATTGTCAGGGGCAGATTTTTGCTTGCTAGTAGGTTTTATATGCTTTTAGTGATCTTTCAAGAAACATTTCAACACCTTTTTACATCAAATGCCTGTTTTTATGTTAAACGTGTACTTCAGAACATTTGGCTTTGATCTAGTGGCCAATGTACTCTGACAGAACACCTTCATATACCTGCTTTTGTGGGGATATTCTGGCAGCCATTCTTTTGCTCATATGTTAGTCTAGAGCTCTTTCATTTTGCAGGTTTGTTTTCATTAGTTCTGTTTTAGTATGCTGAGAATGAAAACTATAGTTTGGGAAGAGGTGGAAAGCAGCCTGCCCTGACTGCAGCGTGATATTTAAGTATGCAGTTCTGTATAAGGTAGAATCATTGTATATTTTGCCATTGATCTGTCCTGCGCTAATATCATTCTGTAGTCTGTCACTGCAGGTTGGGTGATTCATTTGATCATTTCTTGTAATCAGTAGAGTGAGAAGGTGATATTCAACGTGAAGCTGCAGAGGCTGGAAAACGCAGTTACTATAGGTTTTATTTTATGTCAGAGCCCAAGAAAACTGTTCCCAGGATGCAGTGGGGCCTTTTGTTTTAACAACCTGTCACCCCTTGGAACTAGCTGCTGTTTTCAAGATTAATGACTTTGGGATTCAGCATTTGCAGAGAGCAAGGGTGAAGTTTAACTCTGCAGAGCTGCATTGCCATCTGAATGAATCAGACAAAGAAGGAATATATCTCCCTGTTTTGTCACGAAGAAAAGCAGGCAGATGCAAATTGGGCAAACGCCAAGAACATGCCTACAGTTGGCACTGTGGTTTATCTTCAGCTGAATCTATTCAAAATCAATTTTTAGAGCCAGTTCTAAAATAATCATTACTAGAATGGTGGCCATGTTAGTTTGTTGCTTGGAAATACAACAAAGAATCTTGTTGTAATAATAAGTTTATTGTGGCACAGTCTTGGTCACAAAGCAGCAGTATCAGAGTATGGAGTGGGGAAGGATTTTCTGTGCATTATCATTTTTAATAATGGAGTGATGTGCATTGCTGGATTATTGCCATATAGTAACATGTACTGGAGTAGATATATCAAGATTGAAGAATGCCGGGGGAAGGAATATGGAGTATCCCATCTTATGGTCATACTCAGAAATAATGGTCTTGGCTTTACACATTACTGCAGTGTTACCACCAAAATGCTACACTGGCAGACCAAGGAGTGCTTTTCTATACTCAGGTTAAATATGGACTAGAGACTCAGCAGAAGAATGTTGCTGATGTGTGCGTTCTCATGGTGGTTCTGCTCATGCTCCTATGATGGTTCAGATATTGTTCTAATGTAATATGGTTTCATGCCCTTCTGAGTTTCCATGCCATTGGTAGCCAATTATGTGCTATGTAGGCATAGAAACGTGCATGACTGCTGCATCTCATGGTGAGGTCAGGAAAACACAACTTGCTATAGTGAGTGATATTTTTGGCATGAACTGTGGCAGGTTTTGGAACCAACTATGGGTGGACAGGGGTTCCTAATGATTTTAAATGGAAGTGAAAATTGAAAGTACTGTTCTTAACTATAATCCTCACTTACTTCCTTTGAGCAAACAAACTTTGTAGCTTTAAAAGTCCTACTCAGTAGATTTGTGATTATCATCCTCTTAGAACTGCAGAGCTGGAAGAGACCCTATGGATCATCGAGTTCAGCTCCTATAAAGGAGGCACAGTGGGGAATCAAACTCCCTACCTTTGACTCCACAGCCAGATGCGCAAACCACTGCGCGATCTATGCGGATATACAATAAATGTGATTGCTAAATTTGGTTCTTATTCTCAATTAAATACTTACAAATGCTTAAACAAACTAGTGTACAATAATTAATGTGGTGCTTGACACTGAAATGAGAAAGTCATGATCTTTTCATGTGCATTTTGATTAATTAATATCTGGGTAAATTCTAGTTTTCAAGATAATGACATAGTGAAATAAATGACTCTGTTTCCAAAGACAATTAAATAGTAAGTGTACCTTTGTATATTACGTAGTCTGCCTAATTTTGACTGTTTAAGAAGATGATGGGGAAAGAACAGAACATCTAATATTCTTAGGCTACTGTTGGTCTCCATCCTGGTCTCCATCTGCAGAAGGTGATTTTTGAATAGATTTAAAAAAATAAAACCAATCTTTTCTGTGAGGACATGTTGCATATTGCATTTTGTATGAAAGGATTGTTAATTGATGCTAAGAGTAATAAAATTTGAGGAAGTGGAATGAGCTTAAACAGAATACAGTATATGCCTGACAAATTGATTTTATAAAAGAATGCAGTATTAAGAATAAGAGCCCATGATACAGGTGGCCTCAGCTGAAACTCAATAATATAGGATCCGAGCACTGTACAACTTGGAGAAGTTGCTTTTTTTGGACCATCTTTTCCCTGGCCATCATGACCTCTATTCTGTCCCATATACATTGTTTGTGTGAAAGACAGGACACATACACACATGTTCTTATAAATAAATATACAGTACAGTGGTGCCTCGCTTAACGATTACCTCGATGTTTTGATAAGGAAAAATTGCTTAACGATGATCGGTTCCCTGCTTCGGGAACCATTTTTTTGCTAGACGACAATTCTAAAACAGCTAATCGGTGGCTCTAAAATGGCTGCCCACTGTGCAAAATGGCTCCCCGCTGTGTTTTAGGACGGATTCCTCGCTTTACAGACACCAAAAATGGCCGCCCTATGGAGGATCTTCGCTGGACACTGAGGTATTTAGCCCATTGGAACGCATTGAACCGGTTTTCAATGCTTTTCAATGGGCTTTTTCATTTCTCTTGACGAGAATTTCACTTAACAGCGATTTCAACGGAATGAATTATCCTCTTCAAGTGAGGGACCACCGTACAGTTTTTCGTGGCTCTAAATTAATTATTTGCTTCTCCTCTTTCGGGTGAGCACATTTTTTCTCTCTGCTGTGTATTATGTGTATATACATATACATGTATTTCAGTATTGTATAAGCAAGAAGGTGATGCAATCAATAGGCAAGGAAGGCATACTGTGATGCAAATTGCTGCTCACCTCATTCCTCAGTGTTGCTTACCAGCTGCAGACAGCTAGCAAATTGCCCAGTGTATTAGTGTCACTTTTGTTTAAGGACTTTTAAATTTTCCTTAAAAAAAAAAGCAGATATATTTTATGGTTTATGGCAAAATACAGTGGTGCCTTGCATTATGATGTTAATTCGTTCCAGCGAAATCTCTGTAGAATGAAAACATCGTAAAGCGAAATTAAAAAGCCCATAGAAACACATTAAAACCTGTTTAATGCGTTCTGATGGGCTTAAAACTCACCGTCCAGCGAAGATCCTCCATAGGGCGGTCATTTTTGCTGCCTGTCTTGCGAGGAATCCGTCCCTAAACACAGCGGGGAGCCATTTTATTTACCCGGCGACCATTTTGAAACCGCCGATCAGCTATTGGAAAATCGTCGTTTTGCGAACAATCTGTTCCCGAAGCAGGGAACCGATCATCGCAAAGCGAAATTCCCCCATAGGAAACATCATTTTGCGATCACAAAAGCAATCACGAAAAGCTCATCGTAATGCGATTACGTCGTTAAATGAAGCGATCGTAATGTGAGGCACCACTGTATTTCTAGATTTCTAAATAGACAGATGCTTTGTTTTCCTTACCCTGAAAAGTGGCATGTGTTAGGCCAGATCAGAAAATCTGTCTATTTCCCAGTGCTCATAAATAACGTAGTTAACCTTACATAATTTAGTGATGTTTTGATGGAATTATCTTTGTGTTGTTTTTCTCTCCTTATTCAGGATGGAGCTTCAGCATGGGATCTGCTTATCAGTTTCACAGCTGGCGAGTGTTTGTTATTATGTGTGCTCTGCCCTGTGTGTCTGCTGTGGTGGCACTTACCTTCATGCCAGAAAGTCCAAGATTCTTGCTTGAGGTAGAATGCCTTTATCCTTAATAGGTTATAGGGGTCTTATAATAAGCTTTGGATTCCTGATCAAGGACGGACTTGTTTAGTGGTGGCCGAATGCGTTTGGAACTCCCTTCTGAGAGCACAGTCTCATTTGTCAGACCGTTTAGTGGTTTTAAAAGGACCATAAATACAGTATGTTTCCCAGTGCAAATACGTTGGAGATATTATTAATTATATTATCATCATTATCACGTGCCATCATGTAAATTCTGACCTTTCCAGGGTTTTCCAGCTAGAGATCATTGGGGCAGAGTAAATGGAAATGCTGGTTTAAAATGAAAACAAACAAATGAACAAGCAAACTTCTAAAGCTATGCAGCAGTCCAGACAGACCCACAGAGCAGATTAGTATTTTTAATTTAGAAATCTCTTTTAAGATTCACTACCCCTAATTATATAATTAGTTTAGTCAGTTTTAGTTACATTTATCTCACATTACTTTAGTTCAACTAGCATACAGTCTCTATATAAAGAGTCAAAGACTCTGGTTTATAAAGAATAAAAATGTATCTCTTAACAAAGATCTTGATTTTATAATACAACATAAAATGTTAACTGGTTACTTGTTAACTTGCTCCCTCATTAGTTTCATTCACTAAGTTTACTGGTTGCATAAAAGCTCTGAGAACTGAAACCTTGGCATTACTAACTTGTCTCCGCCATTTCTAAATATTAACATATTCCCAGACTCATTTCTGAAATGACCACTAAATCCTGAGACTGAGATTGACTGAAGTTAGGGAAAAAAAGGCAGGAAATGGAAGCTGAGGGAAATAATTGGTTACTCTAAAGCATTGGTTCTTAACCTTGGGTTACTCAGGTGTTTTTGAACTGCAACTCCCAGAAACCCCAGCCAGCACAGCTGGTGGTGAAGGCTTCTGGGAGTTGTAGTCCAAAAACACCTGAGTAACCCAAGGTTAAGAACCACTGCTCTAAGTGATTAGTATTCACCCGAAGTCCCCCTCATCAACACCTCTTAAAGGTGCAATGTGCTGGTTGCCATTCCCTTCTCTTGGGGGTAACCCTGGGGCTGTGCAGCTTGCCCAAGGCCACGCAGACTGACTCTTCTCCTGGTAGGCAAACTCCCAGCCTCTGGCTCGACAAACAGATATCTACTGTATCACTGTATAGATCCTCAGAAATTTATGTTCCTCTCAATGCATGTATCTGCTTTGCCATATTTCTTATTTCTAGACTGGGAAACATGATGAAGCTTGGATGATTCTCAAACAAATTCATGACACAAATATGCGAGCTCGTGGTCAGCCTGAAAAGGTTTTTACAGTGAGTATCTTTTACACAAGTTTTCCTCAGCAGAACATCATTGCTCATGGTCTGTATCAATGAAATTACCCAAAGTATGAAAAAAGCATCTTTTTATTCTTTCTGTTTTGAGAAACCTGGGAACATTATGCCACCAATTTGAATAGATTTGAGAAAAGGTTTATAGTGTGTTGGGTAACTTGAGATTCGGAAGTCAATTCTCCACCTGTCCAGAACATGTTGCAAGCTACTCCCCACCCCCTGGTCAACATCAGATTTAGGAATTGTTTATTTTAAGTATTTCTTGCCTTTGATTGTGATATTTTAATGACATATGTTTTATTGTATTTTTTTTTAAATGGGGTGGATTCATTCTTATCATTCCATGGACAGAAGCAGCTCTTCCCTTGCAGCTCTGCACCCAACTTCAAAATCTGCTTTGAAAGGCCGGGAAATCTCTTGAAAAGATATTTTGGTCTGCCGGAGGGGGAGAAGAAGGTCACACCTCCCTGTGCTAGGAAAAAAATGGGATTTAACTATATGCTTTCATTTACTTAATTGATATTTATGGAAAAGAAGCAATGTGCTTATTAAATAAATTAATAAGACTGTATCCTGGAAGTATAATGCGATCTATACATTTTTGAGTAATATGTAGGGGCAGGGTTTGTCTCAATAGTGATAGAAACAGATACTGTACAGGATTCTCTCCAAATAGGTTTTCATTGAGAATAGCAGTCATGTTCCAGGAGACATGCAGCATCTTTTATTGAATTACTTTTGGCAGCTTGATTAGTATTGATAACAATCTGGAAAAATAATGTTGGTGCATTGATAGAGCGTGTGGGATCCTCAGAGCCTATGGGATATTTTATAATACCAAAACAAATAGTAACAGAAGTTTCCAAGAACATTTTAAAAAGCCATGTTCTGAAGGTTGTTCTTGCTAACGTTTTGCCAGTATCATTTTAAAAAAGCCCTTTTATTTTGCTTTATATTGTCATATTTAATAATTGTGCTTACTCTTATTTGTTATTTTTGTGCACTATATTGTTTTGGCTGTTTTCTTTTATTCCTAGAATGGTTTTAAATAAAACTACAGAACTAATTTGCATTTTAATATTGAGCAAAATATTCACATAGCATATTGGCCAAAATCCTGTTGCTTAGAACAGTAAATCATACTAGAGTAGGCCAATTGAATTAGTAGGGGTTTGGTGACAATTCCTCCATGAGTTCCATTGATTTAAATGGGCCTACTCTAACTATGACTTACTTCAGCATAGTAAGTCTGAGTAGGCCTCAATTGAATTTACAGAGGAGTTGGCTCACTAAATCCCCATTGATTCAGTTGGTTTACTCTAGTGCTATGTACCACTCTAACCAACAAGATTTGGGCCATTGTTTCAATAAATAATGTGTGTGTCTTTGATGGTACAACATTAACTTTTCCTCACCTAATAAGGAACAAAAACCTTTAGACAAAATATTGTTCCTTGACCTGGGGAAGTGTTTTGTGGAGTTGCTTACTTGTCCTCCTTTGGATGATGTTGCATTCTGCCTTTGAAACAGAAACATTTTCCTTTCCCCATTGAGATAAGAACATAAAGTGTGTGACTGTGTCCTTCATAGGTCAACAGGATCAAAACTCCCAAACAGATAGATGAGCTTATCGAAATTGAGAGTGATACAGGTACTTGGTACAGGAGGTGTTATGTCAGAGTACGCACAGAGCTGGATGGGGTAAGTAACAACTGTTAAGATGCAAGTAAAACTGAATTAATATTGCTGTTATAATATTGCCATGAATTTCAGAAAAAGTTGATTCAAGGAGGGAATTTGAAAACAAAAATAACAATTAAGAAAATGTCTTTGATGTTGCCTTTATTCAGTAGAGATTTGCCAAATGATAACAACTTACATAATAGGCAGCTCTACCTTGCCTTTATTCCAAGAAGTTCAGTTTGGTGTCTAGTAAAGGTAAAGGTAAAGGTTCCCCTTGACAATTTTTGTCCAGTCGTGTTCGACCCTAGGGGGCGGTGCTCATCCCCGTTTCCAAGCCATAGAACCAGCGTTTGTCCAAAGACAATCTTCCGTGGTCACATGCCCAGTGCGACTTAGACACGGAACGCTGTTACCTTCCCACGGAGGTGGTCCTATTTATCTACTTGCATTTGCATGCTTTCGAACCGCTAGGCTGGCGGGAGCTGGGACAAGCGACGGGTGCTCACTCCATCGCGTGGATTCGATCTTATGACTGCTTGGTCTTCTGACCCTATAGCACAGGCTTCTGCGGTTTAGCCCGCAGCGCCACCACATCCCTTTTGGTGTCTGTTACCCTCTCTCAATTTTATTATAATAGCAACTTAAGGCCACTCAGGGACCTTCCTGGATAAGTGGTGATATTGAACCTCAATTGAAGTCTAACACAGTAGCATATTAAAAGCATAATGTTATGCATGTCTCTTCAGGAGTGAGTCACACTGTGTACAGTGGGGTTTGCTGTCTTGTGAATAGGTGTAAGATTGCATTAATACTTAAGCATGGGAAATGTTTTTGGAAAAAGCAGAACTTTCCATTCAAGACTTTCTTATAAAAAGTAGTCCCTGTCCTGTCCTAATTCCTACCTATTAGGAGGGCAATAGGGACGATAAAGGTTTTGGAAACCAAGATCTGTGAAGATCAGTTGAAAGATTTGGACATGTTTATTCTGGAGATGATCGAGATGCAATATGCTACCCATCTTCAAATATTTGAAGGGCTGTCAAATGGAAGATGGAGCAAAGCTGTTTTTTGCAGCTCCGGAGGGTAGGACCTTGAAGTAATTGATTTAAATGACAGGAAAGGAGCTCTTGACTCAACATTAGGAAAAACTTCTTAGGAACAAGAGCTGTTTGACAATGGAATGGTGTTTTGTAGGCTGGTGGATTTTCCAGCACTGAAAGTGTTTAAAGAGAGGTTGGATTACTATTATTAGTAGTAGTTTTATTTATATGCCACATTTCTCCAAACAAAGGACCCAAAGTGGCTGATTTCCTATCAGGGATGCTTTAGGTTTGGGTTTTCTACTTTAACAGGGGTTTTTCCTTGATGAGCCTTGCAGGCCCTTCCAGCTCTAGTCTTCTATGATTCTGCAATTCATTAAATCTGAGACAGGCAAAATGCAGCTCTCCATATGTTGTTTGACTGCTTCCATTCTTCATCAGTATTAACTGTGCTGTCTAAGATTGATGGGGGTTGATGGGATCCAGCAACATTTGGAGGGTTTCACTGTGCCCACCCCTGTGCTTTGTGAATGGGCTTGAAGCAACACAATCCAGTTTTTCTTTATCTTCATGTAGAAAAGCTCATTTGTAAGAATTAAGTGAGCCATGATATTATTAGGAAATTTTAGAATTTAGGAAGGAACTCTGGAGTTGTATTCGCGAAGGCTTTCACGGCCAGGATCTAATGGTTGTTGTAGGGTTTTCGGGCTCTTTGGCAGTGTTCGGAAGGTTGTTCTTCCTGATGTTTCACCAGTCTCTGTGGCCAGCATCTTCAAAGGACTGGAGTAGGAACTCTGTCCATGCTCTGTTGGTGTTTGTTGGATGTGATGAGGGAGAGGGGAGAGGGAGAGATTATCTGTCACTGTGGTTGATGGGTGTCCTTAGCTGAAGTCATTTAGCAAGAAAGAAACAGACTCTGAAGATGTAAAGGAGGAAAAGGCATCTGTTGGTATCTTATTTTAAAATAAATAACTGTGTAAACTCAACATCCATCAGCATCTACACCAATATACAGGCCAGCCCAAAAATTCTGAAATATCTCCTTCTTTGTGGTATTTATTTTAAAACTGCATGGCTTCTTATTATTAACCTGAATGGAGTTTCACATTAAAATGCTAATTTTCTTAATCTCTCACAGATTTGGTTAACATTTATGAGGTGTTTCACCTATCCAGTCAAGGACAATACCACCAAGCTTGCAGCAGTATGGTTTACTCTTTCTTTCGGGTAAGGCTGATAGAACCAAAATGGAGTAGTTGCAATACTTATTAAATTGGATTGTATTCGCATTAATGTATACAAATCTCACTCATCAGTGTGTGGCAGAATAGGCTGGAAATGCCTTGTTTTGGCTGGTGAGGGAAGTTTCAGAAAGGGAAGATTTTTCTCCCTCCCCTCTGTCACAAGTAAATGAAGGTTCTGTACAAATAAAAGGAAATGCTTTCTTATACCTCCTGAATAAAGACTATGAAATTTGATACCACCAGTTGTTTTAATGCCTGCCAATCTGTCTTGAAAAGGGCATTTGCCCTTCTATCAAAAGATAAGGGCCAGTTGATATAATAGACCCATTGAAGCAGTGGAATCATGGTAAATTTTTACTGATTATTCACAACTGATTCAGTGAGTCTACACAGTTGGGGCTAGAAATTGGATTACAGGCATGGTTATCTATGGTTACCAGTCATAGCTGTTACATGGTTACATGTTTATTACATTATTGTTACACAATATGTCTAGTTGTTCAGAAGTAGCAGCAGAAGAGAGCTATTTTCCTTTTGTCCTATGCACTTTCCAGCAATGTACTAGATACTAATATCTGGTTTTATTATCCTCATGACTGGATATTATTATGTAGCTCCTTTTTTTCTTCTGTAAATGGAAAGTGGTTTGTGGATTAACTAAACCCAGTACAGTACAGAATTTGCCAATCTGTGATACTGGGTGAGGTCTCTGTCTGCTGCCATTTTGCCTGCAGTCCTGGTAGGAAAACCATGATTTGATAGTAATAGGAAGCACTCCTGGGGCAAATGCTCCCTAAATCCCTCACAACTGAAATGAATTTGGTATTCAAATGTTGCCATCAACGGTAGCATCAAAACAGTGGTGGTCCTTTCAGCCAAATGCTGTTCTTCATGGTTGTGTTTCTGAAAAGCAGAGTATCTAATTCTGTGGGTTTCTCTCCTGAAATCATTTCCTTGCTGATTTTGGTTCAATCTTCTAACTGTCTTGATCTAAACACTTAAAACAAAGACCCCTCCTTCACTTCTTATAGCAAGGATTGGCAACTTTGGAAGATGTAGAGGCCACAACGGGCTGAACTACATTGAGAAACTATGATCAAGAGTGGATGGAAATCCTGGAAACTTCCAAGCCACATTCAAAACTGTGGAATAAATGAAAATGGAAGCCTATCAAGTGCTCATGTTTAAGTAGGAAAGGTTTCCAAGCCTATGGAAAGCTAGTTTTATTATACCTAATTTAACGTTATACTGTATCTGAATGCAGCCAGAGTATTTTAAAACATCAGTTTTAGGAAAACATAATTTTGCCGTAACCCATAGGAAATAAATCTGTTGAAGTTACACCAATTGCTTTTGACAGGTATTATGGATTGTCAGTCTGGTTTCCAGATGTCATTAAGCACCTACAAGCAGATGAATATGCTTCTAGAAGGAAAGAGTTTGGAAACGAGAGGATTACAGACTTTGACTTCAACTTTACACTGGAAAATCAGATCCATTACAATGGAACATTCATCAATGACAGGTTGAAATAAACAAATATCATTTTACTTCCCAGTAAAATATCAATAGTTGTGTACATTGTTAGGTATCTAGACATTTCCCATCATTTTCATTCTTAATAGCTATTAAAAATATTAATAGATTTAGGGAAGCTTACTCAGTTCTTCACTATTGCACAAAGATCATTGGTCATTAATCTAAAGAGTGATATATTTAGCTCTTATATGAGAATTAGTCCACATAAGATGGGCAGGGATAACTCTGTAAATGGTTGAGACTTGACTATACTGTATATTCAACATGAGTTCCATGTACTATCCTTTGGGCTACACTATAAGTTAATGCTTGTTTAAAATTATTTGCTGAATTGCTCTTTGTCTTTGTTAACCCTCCCCCACAAAATCTTTGGGTGAAATTCACTAATTAATCATATTTCTTACCCACAGTTATTTGACCCAAAAAGTTAGTTGCATTGCATACAATACCACTGTATCCTGTTGTAGAAAAACTGATATAATGTATATTGATTCCAAGATTTGATTTCTAGCTTCCTATATCAAGATGTATCCTAGTGAGAAACAGGTTCTCATGGGAAGAATAGGATTCAAAGAAGCATGCATATCAAAGAAGGGAAGTTGACTGCAGTCAGGCAGGCTGCAATGCTGTAAATGTGTGGCTCTGATGTGTAGATAGCCAAATGGCCCGAAAGTGAGCCCTGATAAACTTTGGGAGTATTTTTATTACACCTGAATGGGAAGAGGGAACTGAAAGGGAACATTGATGAATTAAATATTAAATCAAAGGGAAATTATGCCAGACCTCAGGTGTGCCGGAGAGCATCAAAGATAGCTCTGAGATTCTAAAACAGAAAAGAGATTTAGGATTTAGATGAGAGAGAGATGGGGGGGAGAAGCCATGGAACTAAATAGAGATGGCTGGAGAGGTCTTTAGCAGCAGCAAAAGCAAGACTTTTAGCAGGAAGGGTTTTTGCTATGCCCTGTAACATATCCTCTGACTTGTAGTCAGAGGATATGCTACTTCTAGTCAGAGGACTTTAGAAAGGAACACAGAGAAGTAGGTTAGTGAATTATCTGCTTAGGGCTGTTAAAAAGCTAGTGCAGGAAAGGAGAAATGGAGAAACAGCCTCATGGCAAATTAGTGTTGTTTTTTATTTTCTTGTTTGTATTTTCTTTGCCAATATTCAAAATCCTGTTCCTTGGTTCGTAACTGTTCCATGGTCTTGCAACCTTTTTGTTTCACAGCTTTCAGCCAAGCTTATTCTTTCATTTATTTTTTTAATTCTTTTTAATTTTTTTATCAATACATTTTTAAAATACTCTTGGACTGGAAGTTGCTTTTAGAGGAACTCAGAACCTGAAATCTACCTGGCCATTTGGTCCATGACTACCGTATGAGTTCTGAAAGCGTGTTAAGAGTGTCTGTACTCAGGTTTCAAGGGAGATGGCGGCAGTGTTCAAAACAGGACAACTTTTGTCGAGCCTAGTGGGATAATTCCCATACTTTAGCCACTCCTTATGAATTTCCCCTACTTCGAAGGTAACTGCAGAGTTCTGAAGGGTCCACTGGTAAGGGCTCACAGAGTGATCCCATCACGCCTTTTTTGTAGGTTAGGCTATGGTCGTGCTCCAGTTATCAAAAATCTCTTCTCAATTTTTAAAGTCTCGCATCTTCTTTTTTTAGTTTATAATAAGTCACTCTGATTTCCAAATCAGTTGAACCATGAACCAGGAGTTAACTCTATATCACTATTTTCAAACCTTGATTTGTTTATTTGTTTTGTTAACCATGGAAGTTACTGTTTACTAATAACACTAGCCATTCGCACATCACACCAAACCATGGAAATAAGGAAAGAGAAGAAAGTGTTTGTATGCAAGAAGGACATATAAAAGTATGAGCCTGGAAACGATGGTTATGTTGATAATGTTGACTTTGAAGATACAGTGGTGCCTCACTTTACGATTGCCCCGCATTACGATGAATCCACTTTACGATGCTCTTTTTGCGATCGCAAAACGATGGTCTAAATGGGGGAATTTCGCTTTACGATAATCGGTTCCCTGCTTCGGGAACCGATTCTTCGCAAAACGATGTTTTTCTAACAGCTGATTGGCAGTTTCAAAATGGCCACTAGGTAATTGAAATGGCTCCCCGCTGTGTTTAGGGATGGATTCCTCGCTATACAGGTGAAAATGGCCGCCATATGGAGGATCTTCACTGGACAGTGAATTTTTACCCCATTGGAACGCATCGAATGGGTTTTAATGCGTTTCAGTGGGGTTTTTTTATTTCGCTTTACGATGTTTTCGCTTAATGGCAATTTTCCTGGAACGGATTATTGTCGTTAAGCAAGGCACCACTGTATATGGTTTGAATAATCAGAATGTGACATTTGTATTAAGCCATCACCTTGCAGCATCAGCCAAAAAATTGTCCAAAAGAAGGTTTCATAATTGAATGTCTTAAGATGACTATGAATTATTTGTATTGCTCAGGTTTACCATGATGAAATTCAAAGCAGTTGTTTTTCAAGACACACTGTTTAAGAGCTGTTATTTTGAAGATGTTACCACACTGAACACTTACTTTAAGAACTGCACTTTTGTGGAAACCTTCTTCTTCAATACAGGTAGGCTGGAATGTGATTTGCTGTTTAGCTGCCAAACTCCGTAGGGCCCCATTTTATCAAAAGTTCATTGGCAGAAGTGCTGAACTTACAGACAGTTAATAGTAGCAGACTGTAAAACAAATGTAAACCAAACACTTTCATTGTCTCTGTTGCCTATTAACTACAAGGATTTTGCATGTTGAATTGTTGGCTGAGCTTGTTGTTTCTGCTATTGCCATTCTTCTCCATCTCTTTGAAAAATGAAAGAAGAGTAGGAAGTTTCGCTTCCCTCACAAGATGAAGGAAAGGGCCGTGCCAACCATTCCTTCATCTTTTTGGCAGTAACCCCTTTTTCTGCCAAGGATGAGTGTTCAGGGTTGTGTGCTTATTGAGTCATGGGGGGAAAAATACACTCTGGCAGCTGAATTCAGACTTCTTCAAGCAACCTATGAATGAGAACATTCAACCTATGAATGACGTACTTACTTACGTACTTACTTAGTTAATTTATTTCAACTCGTATACCACCGAATACTACAAAGCACTCTTTGGGCAGTTCAGCATAAAGCATACAAACAATAGAGAATAACGCAGTGCAGTATACAGTTGTTGTTGCTGTTGCTGTTGGTGTTATGTGCTATCAAGTCACTTCTGACTCATGGTGACCCTGTGAATGGTTGATCTCCAAATTTCCTGTCCTCAGCAATCCAAACAAACAAACAAACAAAAAAATCAATAAAACCACTGAACTAGCTAAACCTATACTTGAATAAATAAAGGGCATCACAGGTAATTAGCATTAATAAAAAGCAACTTTAAACAGTTTTGACTAACTTCTTAAAAACTGAGAGGGAAGGTGCCTGGCCAAAGCTCTTCTGAAAGTTTATTCCAGAGGTGTGGGGACACAACCGGAAAACCCCAGTTCCTAATGTTCATTGTGTTGACTTCCTTTGGTGTTACTGTTTTTAACCTCCTGAACTGTGAAGATCGGGTGAGACAGGTACAGTGGGGTCTTGACTTGAGAACTTAATCCGTATTGGAAGGCGGTTCTCAAGTCAAAAAGTTCTCAGGTCAAATCTGCATTTCCCATAGGAATGTATTGAAAGCCATTTGATCCGTATCTGCTGTTTTCCGTCCATAGAAACTAATGGGAAGCTGCTATTCTGCCTTCGACCACTAAAGGGGGATATTTTGTTTCTTTTTTTCTTAGGTCAAGAAAGGTTCAGGGAAGGCAGGGAAAATACAGTCCAGGCAGTCCCAGGCAGTCTGAAGACTCCCAATCCACTCTCTAAACGCTGGGAGGAGGGAGGAAGCAGACAGGCACCCTTTTTACTGGCCAACAGTTAACTGAAAGTTCAAATTTTGCACTTTCCCTGCCTCGCACGTGTTTTTTTCAGTTCTTAACTCAAATCTAAGTATGTAAGTCAAGTCAATATTTTCCTATGAGAGTGGTTCTTAAGTCAAAATGTTCTTAACTCAAGCCGTTCTTAAGTCAAGACCCCACTGTAGCTGTTTTGCAGGAGAGACGTTCTGACTGGTGCTGAGGTCCTAAACCATTTAGCGCTTTGTAAGTGGTGACCAGCACCTTGAATTAAGCGCAGAAACTAACAGGAAACAGTAGAGTAGCATTCAGAGATACTGCCCTCACCTGCCTTCTCCACGTGATTGTCCACTCCATGGGATGAAAGGGTTTGTCACTGGAGTGCAGAGTACAAGGAAATTGTAGATTTTACCTCACCCCAATAGGGAAACTGTCACAAATGTCACAGCAGGTGTTTGGCTGTAGCGATAGCCCATCCCTACCCCTATCTTTCCTGAAGCATGGGCATGTTGTTGAGCTTGTTCTGTTGGTTTAAAAATAATTACAGTATCTACTGCTTTTCTGTTAAAATACCTTAAAGAATTTGTTACAGCACTTTCCTGTAGAATAATGAAACATATTATCCTGAAGGGATCTCAAGACAGTTGACAACAGTAAAAACAAAACCAAATTAATTAGAGCCGTTTCTGAAATTATATAGTCTTAATCTGTTCTGGTTGTTGAGCCTACTGCTTTTCTGTTAAAATACCTTAAAGAATTTGTTACAGCACTTTCCTGTAGAATAATGAAACATATTATCCTGAAGGGATCTCAAGACAGTTGACAACAGTAAAAACAAAACCAAATTAATTAGAGCCGTTTCTGAAATTACATAGTCTTAATACCGTATTTTTTTGCACCATAAGACGCACTTTTTTCCCACAAAACAGGGGGGTGGAAAGTCTGTGCGTCTTATGGAGCGAAGAAGACAGATTATATTTTCCTGTTTTCTTCTCCTAAAAATTGGTGTGTCTTATGGAAAGGTGCGTCTTATGGAGCAAAAAATATGGGTAACTTGCTTTTTAAATGAAAAGAAAAATCATCATCTCCGAAGCATGAAAGACAAACTTAGAAAATACAGAACACTGAAATCAATGCTAATATTTATTGTGGCTGTCATCTGTTTCCTCTAAAAGTAATAGATTAAAGAATCAAGTATTACTGAGACTATCAGTATTTGTAATGTTTTAAAATAAGACACTTCAATAAATTCTTATGTTGTTCTAACTGACACTTTCTCTGCTTCAATAGATCTTGAACCATACAAATACGCTGGCAGTGAATTTGTAAACTGCACATTCTATCACAACAAGACAGGGTGTCAAATTTCTTTTGATGATGATTACAGTGCCTACTGGATTTACTTTGTTAATTTCCTGGGGACTTTAGCAGTATTACCAGGAAATATCGTTTCAGCTCTTCTGATGGACAGAATTGGGCGTTTAACAATGTTAGGTATGAACTTCATATTAAAATGGATTTCAAAAATATATTTGGCAGTTTTATCTTTGTGGGTTTTATAGCTGACAAGAAGGAAGGTAGGAATTTATTTATGTTTATGTATGTATGTTTTTTAATACATGTGTGTATACATGCATACATTATGCTTTAAAAAAAAACTACAGGTAAACAAAATGAAAGTGTAGTTAATTCCACAATGCTCTTCCCAGAACCATGAGCTCTGGGAAGCACAGCCTATGAGTGAGTGATTGATTTCTCCACCCTCTTTGCTGCATGGGGAGGGGAACAGGGTCCAATCTCTGCCAATCAGCACTTTCTAGGAGTGCTAGTCTTCTGGCATCTGGATCACTGTCCTTTTTCAGTAGGATAGCAAGGAGTGTGAGAAGAGAATTCTCAGTGCAAGTGAGAGATGTGGAATTGCATACATCTCTCTGCTTCTGGAAGGTAAAAATGAAGCAGGGAGGGGCCCAAATGGAGCAGGTGAAACCCCCACACACACACACCACTGTTATTTGGCCCACCGGCCTTGTTCAAGCAGGACAATCCAGTCTCTTGGATCAGAAGCATTTTATCCCCTGCCTTAAAGATATAGCTCTGTAATAGAAAAGCTACCACTTCTCCATCAGTGTCTGCCAGGTGTCATGGGGGTATGCCCTGGGAAATGGCACCAAGAATGTTGATTCCTCAGAGGAATTTACCTTTGCGATTGCTGTTTTTCAGGAGCTCAGGCTCCTGTTGGTTGGAGCTGGGCTTAATTCCAGGCCTAGGTGCAGTATTTCTGTTGGATTCTGCTTAGAACCTTTTATCTTGGGTTCCAGGTCACTGGCTGAGTGTCATGGCAGCAATATAAAAGTACTGTAAAGCTAAAGGTTCCCCTTGACAATTGGGTCCAGCCATGTCTGACTTTAGGAGCTGGTGCTCATCCCTTTTTTTGTAAGCCAAAGAGCTGGCATTTGTCTGTAGATACTTTCCGTGGTCACATGGCTGGCATGACTAGACACAGAAACCTTCCCACCGAGATCGTACCTACCATGTTTCCCTGAAAATAAGACAGGGTCTTATATTAAAATGTGTTCAAAGAAACACAGTAGGGCTTATTTTCAGGGGATGTTTTTTTTTTCATGCACAAGAGTCTACATTTAATCAAATACAGTCATGTCATCTTCTGGCTGCTGCACAATGGTGGGGGGTGGGGTTTCACTTAACTAGGGCTTATTTTAGGGGTAGGGCTTATATTATGAGCTTCCTGACAAATCATACTAGGGCTTATTTTAAGGTTAGGCCTTCTCATCAGGGAAACAGGGTATGTATTTGCATGCTTTTGAACTGCTCTATTAAACTGTAACAAAACCAGTAATCATCATTATCATTTGCTTTGTGTGTAGGTGGTTCTATGATTCTTTCTGGAATTAGCTGTTTTTTTCTGTGGTTTGGTACAAGTGAATCAATGATGATAGGCATGCTGTGTCTCTACAATGGCCTCACTATTTCAGCCTGGAATTCCCTTGATGTCATCACAGTGGAGTTGTATCCTACAGACAGGAGGTATGTTCTTATAGTCCTGTTGTGCCTTTATCCTCTTTTCAAAGCATCATTGAGAAAACTTGATGGTTATAAATAAGATGGATACATACTCTAGCAAGGTGTCTACATTTTAAAAAATAGTTTCCATAAAGGAGAGAAAGAAAAAAGTTGGGTCCTTCAGTTACCTCTACTATAACTGGAACTTACTCAGAAAGTATCTGAATGCAGGGATAATATACTTCCTGTGACATTGGTCATTGTTAGTGACAATGTATTAAACTAGATAGAGACAATTTAGATTACTGGGCTGTACAGCTGATTGGTAAAGTCAGTAGCAAAACAAGCAACAAGGGCTGACCTTTTTCTTCCCAATTAGCCATGTCTTGTTATGGCTATTTATAAATCCAAAGCGCTTTGCTTTTATGGCACTGTGTTTTTGTTATAGTTCATTAAAGTGCCTTTCTGCTAACTGCTATTCCACTTCCAAGCTTTAATGCATCATTAATATAATCCCCCCAGAAGAAGCTTTTTTATGTATTTTGTTTTTTCACATGGTTATGAACATAATCTAAGAGTGAAGAGCACTTAAGCTCATTTCCTCTCCACAAGTCCCTCGCAATTCTCACACAGAGAAAAATATTAGACAACTTTGCAGATTCTTTACCTAAGTCAGAACACGAAAGGGGAAGCAAAGTCAAGGTGCTAAAGGCTGATTTATTTGGAGGGAAAAAAACCCAAAGAATATATTGTGCCAGTGACCAATATTTTCTAGGTAATTGCTCTTCAACAGAAGTAACACTAGCTTTACTTTTTGGTATGAGAGATTCTTTTGCCTTCGAACAACCCATTAATCATTTGTTCTATTCTGTCTAAGGGTTGAAGATGATTCCAAACCAATGCTAGTGGCTTCTGGCAGCTTATTTTAGCAGTATACCATGTAATATTCAACTGATATTTCAATCAGGTCTTTCTTTTCGTAGACAGGAAGTAAAAGGCTGTTTCTTAGCCAGTGTTCATGTGCTACCAAATACAAGTTGTTGGAATTCAGTTCACTTGTCCTGCTCAAAAAAAATGGACGGAAAAGAATTGGGTGAACTATTTAGCAATAGCTGACAGACATAAATGATAACATACTAATGACTTTTCATAGAATAGATATAAAACCACCTATGAATAAGCAATTAAAGCAAGTATTTAATCTATCTCACGTATCTTCGGACAGGATTGAAACCCATTTAATGGACATAATGAGGTTTTCTTGTTTTAAGAACAAATTGGTGGACACAAGTTTTTTAAAACAGCATTTTGCTTGCATATTCTATTTAAAAAAATTAACTTGTAGAGAGTGGTCCTGTGGGGGAGGGGGAGAATCTACTGCAATGAAAGTCATTTATTTGCTCTTTTACTGGACAGCAGTGAAAAACAAAAGCCCGAAAAGTTCTTCCTAGCAGCACACTTTTTTTTCTTATATCTTAGTTATAAAGGCACTAAGGAACAACTAAGTTATTGTCTAATAGGCTTATCCCATAACATGGTCTTTAAAACTTTTAGACATAAGTACAGCTAGAAGTCTTTACCCTCTAGTAGAGATGGACATGAATCAGAAAAATGGTGATTTTTTTGATTCATGATTCATCAAGGTAGATGAATCACAAATTATGAATTCATGATTTTTTTCTGAAGAATTAATGAATCAATTTGTCAATTCATATTTTACTTTAAAACCTTATAAAATGCCTCCCCCAGGCACTTAGAGACATCAAATTTGCAGGAAAGCTTCCCCTGACTCTCTTCTATAAGCACTGCAAGATTGGTGAATTTGGTTTTGAACATCTGAGTTATACACCCAGAAGGAGGAAACCACCACCACCCAGGAAAGTTTATCCCAGACACCTAGAGACACCAAAATCACAGAGAAGCTTCCACTGACTCTCCTCTACAGTCCCTCCAGGTTTGATGAAGATTGGGTTTCAGACATCCAAGTTATACACCCACAAATTGGGTCCCCCCAGGAAAATGCCCTTTAGCAGCTGGCTTGGGGAAACCAAATCTTCACCAAAGTTGGAGGGAGTGTAGAGACAGAGGATATGTCTCTGTAAGTTTGATGTCTCTAGGTGCCTTGGGAACCTAGCTAAACAAACTGATGAATCAAAAACCAATAAAAAAATCATTGATTTGTGATTTGCCACATGTTCTCTTCCCCCTCCCAGCACTCCCACCCACTAGCTGATGTGCACTGCTCATTCCCTTCCAATCGCATGATCTTCCAGTTCCACATTCCTTTCTTCACCTCCTCCAGCATCTGCCAACTCACAGGCAACACTGCAAGAATTCCCACCCACCCCGGCCTGAGGTCAACATGGCATCATGTTCTCCATGCCCATCTCAATACCTGATGTTCAACCTCCTGTCTGTGAGTTTATCCATACATGCAGACCATATCCAAGGCCACAGTCATAATTTACACAGCCTTATAAACTGGCAACAAAGCCTTTGAGAGACCAGAATCACTTCCATACCATTATGAGGTAGCAGAGTAGGATATTGTAGAAGCAAAGTGAATTTCATATTGTATGAGGATGCATCACTCCTTGTATTCTTAAGCCCCATCACCCTTCCTCTGTTTGGCCATGATTTAAAACAAACAAAGAAAGAAACAATATATTATTGCTCAATACATTTTCCCTTTGCTGCCTCCTTTTCAGATTTTTTTTCTAAGGAATCTCTTTTCTTTGTCATGAATACTGTTTATGAGTTGTGTTTAATTCCGCTTTTATTTTCAGAAAGATTGTTTAATATTATGTCTGCAGGTATGAACAGAGCAAGCCTCTGCTGCCATCTTCTGGAAGTAACATAACCATTCTGTATTCAGCCCTCCGTTGTTTTCTTCAGTCTGTTTTTATGGATCCGGCATTCTCAGTTTTTTCTCTCTCCTTAAGATGAGCTTTAACAATGCATTCAGGAAGTCAGTGCTTTAGCTTTTCATCAGGCACTTTTAAAACCTTGACAGTGCTGGCAGTTGTCTCAGAAAGGAAACAATTCCAAAGGAAAAAAGATCTAACGACAGATCCTTTTATGCTCAGAAGTGGGGCACCCTCACAGGTGGCGCTAATGAGGGTCCAGTCCCATGGGGCCGGACGGTCCACTCACCGATCCACCATGGAGGCAGATGGCGTGATTCTATGAATGGCTGTGCAGCGCATGATCCGCTCGCTACTCCTGGCAGGAGGACAAACCTCACTGCAAGTGGTGTAGAGTGGTGAGTGGATCGTGCACTGCAGAGCCATTTGTAGAATTGCAGTGTCCATGGCCTGAATACCCCCCATCTCTACTCAGAAGCTGCAGACTCTCCAGAAATCTTGCCTGAGACCTGCTTCCAGAAGGAGTGTACATACAGTGGAAGCCACTTGTCCTCCCCTCTTTGTCCTCCCCCTTCTTTTAAAGGAATATCGTTCTCTCATTGAAAGTAAAAGTAAAATTCAGATAGAACCTGTCTCAGGGCTGATACTCTTCTGTTTCCCCATACTAGGGGTATTTTAGGGGGCAAAAGGGACTGAAAATCCTTCAGGTCCAAAGTGCTCTTCTTTCCTGTCTACACTTGTGACACGCCTCTCTTCCCTCCCTTCAATAAGGGGAAAGCCCTGATTTTGAGAGGGAAGTTACTAGACTGGCTGGAAGTGGCTATAAGAGGATGTTCAATATCAGATCCCCAGTCGCAGCTTCCCACAAAATCAGAGAGAAATTTCTGCTTGATTTGCAGCCTTTAAAAAATTCATTATCTCTTTTCTTCCATTTCCCACCACTCATTGTTTTGGGGTTTTTACAAAACTATACATTCAAACAATGCAAAATCTTCTTCCTTTCTGTCTCAAAGGTTGCAAACCAGAATTACCAGTGTATTATATCATGCCTCACTTTTGCCTTCCATTTCTTTTTTTCCTACTTAGATAGGCAAGTGTGGAATTCTAACTATTGCTCACCCTAATCTTTATGGACTGCTTTTATTTGCAGGCTACTGTGACGTATTTTCTTTCAGATATGATCTCAGCAAAGCCTTGTATGTAATATAATACTGATTATTTCAATCTGCTGCCTTGTACTTGAATTATGATTTCAGATATATACAGCAGGTAAAGGTTTATTAGGATTTTAAATATGAGAAACATCCAGTTTTATTAACTCAACCAATCTAGTTTTCTAATTATGGAACCAGAAACATCCACGTGATGGACATTTTTCAGATAAGCTATGCAGGAAAGTCAGATTTTTTTAATAAAGTGAAACACAATTCCAATCCACAATCGGATAATTTAAACAAATATTCTTTGGATGCATTCAAGCTGTAACCAATAAGCACAGAGTGAATGACGATAATCACTGTAAATTCAACAGCATTTCATAGCAAGTAACTAAGCTAAATCCTAAAATACGAAGTTTTTCAGACGATTGTTTCTGATCTTTCATTCACTTGTAGGTGGGTTTACAGGTCCTCTGCTTGAGTTCCTGCACAGTAGAACATTCATCTGATCGACTATGAGTGTTTGTTTATCTGCTTTTTAAATTGTATTTATGTTAGTAGAAATATAATTTAAAAAGCAAATAAACAACCATAATAAATAGCACTGGCCTAGATCGACAAATAATCTGTAATCTTCTGTCTTCCTAAAACCAGAGCCTGGAATAGCTTCTCTTATAGGACTACAACTCTCAGAATGTCCCCAGCCAGCATGGCTGTAGTAACTACATAATTAGATGGCAGTTACTGTTTTAAGCTGTGGCTAAAGACCATCGTTTTTACTTCCATGGGATCTCTATATCACCTTTTATCATCTGTTACACTGTGCTTCCCTAAGATATCTGTGTATATCCATGCAGTAGTCTGAAAACCTGTGTATTTGAAAGGATCCATGTGTGTGTGTGTGGATCTTTTGAATATGCATCTTTTGAAAGCTAATCTATGAGCTTTCTATGAAATTAAAACAACTAATTGAGCCAATCATATGCACTGCTGTTAAGGGAGACATTAATGAAGACATCAGGAAGAACAGATGCTCAGATTCCTCATAAATTTTGCTTGCTCTGAACTGCCAGAAGTATTAGTACCCATGACCAACAGGAACCTCTAAATAAAATAAAATAAATGTAAATGAAAAAAGAAAGGGATGACAGAAATATTAGAACCGCTGAAGGTTCTAATTGACGAAAATTGAAAAATAAAATAAACTTTTTTAAAAATAAAGTCAATATCAAATTTGTTTAAGGTTTAAAAAAATCCATGGCAGGAGACACATAATATGGATTCTGAACTGAACTGGAACTTCAGGTTTTATGGGAGGGAATCAGTGGTTCAGTTTTCTTTGTTTTGTTGGATCAGTTTCTCTGCCCATAGAGAATGTGTTAAGGGCATGAAGGTAAGTGAAGGTGCCCATATCCTTCATTGTTCTGCATCATCTCATTTGCGTCTGAGTAAAACATCTTCAGATTTAAAAACATATTCTACTATTAGAGTGCGGTTCTTCAGGAAGGCATATGTCATGAAGTATTCTAGGTGTTGGCCACTCCCTCTCTTTGCTCTGCTTTTCTTTCTTAACGTACTTAGTTCTGTTGACTTTAACTTTTCATTTCTCTCTCTCTCTCTCTCTCTCTCTCTCTCTCTCTCTCTCTCTTCCTGTCTTTCAGGGCAACAGGCTTTGGCTTTTTAAATGCACTATGCAAAGCAGCAGCTGTTCTTGGAAACTTAATATTTGGTTCTTTTGTTGTCATCGCCAAGTCAATTCCTATTCTCTTGGCTTCTACGGTTCTCGTCTGTGGAGGTTTGGTAGGACTTCGACTCCCTGACACCAGAACCCAAGTGTTGATGTAACTTGGGAAAGGTTATGGATAAAAAAGCCATTTACAATTTCTTTTTCTCTCTTTCCAAGTGTCAGATCTCCTGGCTGGATGGGCAAAGGCTTCAGATTCTCAGTGTGTGGAAGGTGACCCTGTAGCAGAGGTTCTACTCTCAAAATGAAAGAGTTGTGACAGAATATTAGAAAATAAATTTAAGCCCTCATCAAAGGTTTTCTATGCATTCACTGAACACTTGGAAGGGGAGAGAGGGGCCATACATCTTGGCTCCACCCCCAGCATTACACATCTCATCTACTCACCCCTTGGCCACACTTTCAGAGAAAATCGAGTGGGGCAGAGCTTTCTTACATAGGCTCATCTATGCAACTGAAAATGTGTGAAGATGTCTGTTTGTACATAATGGCTTGTACTTCAGATCTTCCTTGAAAGTGTGAAAGGGGATCTAACTGGTGTGACTATGACACTGAATGCAGGACAAACAGCCACAACTCTGATCTGCCTTACCCCACTCCATTATATATAGTTAGTGCAGGGGCAAGCAGCTTCCAGAGGTAACCATTCCTTTATTTATAAAGGCTCCTTGCATCCTCTATAGCAGTGGTCCCCAACCTTGGGCCTCCAGATGTTCTTGGACTACAACTCCCAGAAGCCTTCCCACCACCTCGGCTGGCCAGGATTTCTGGGAGTTGAAGTCCAAGAACATCTGGAGGCCCAAGGTTGGGGATCACCACTCTGTAGGATACAGGAGAAATATTTGCTATGGTTTTGATTTATCACCCCTGGACCTCTTTTATGTCTAAGGAAAGGCTTTTAAAAAAATCAAAATCAGATTACTGGATTTGCATGAGGTTGATATCCCGTATTTTGTCCATCCTTGAATTAACACATGGAGTTACTTCTGAAGAGTGGTTAATTCTTTGCAAACTAGAGATGGGGGTATTCGTCTTCATATGTGAATACCCCCGCACAGGTTGACATAATGACTATCCACTCACCTTCCACAGTTGCCACGAGCTCTGCTCTCCCTTCCTGTCACTCTGGAACTTGCGGTCTGCGAGCCACTCTTCGACCTTGCAGCGAGGCTCGTCCTCCTGCCTCCTGCCAGGAGTGGCTTGCAGATCGTGAGCTCCAAAGCAATAGGAAGGGAGCACGGAGCTCTCAGCAACAGTGGAACGTGAGTGGACAGTCCGGACCCAGGGGGCTGGACCCTTGTCATGTCCACCTGTGCGCAGGTACGTATATGAATACCCCGATCTTTATTGCAAACCATATCAATGTCTATTTCAGGCAAAGAAGAGAGTTGAATAATAAATAAAACTGACCCTACCTGTTTTATGCTAGGATGGTGACTCTGTTTTTTCGCCCCTTTAAGAGTTACTTTTCCAGATGTTTAGTTTAATTGATTTAAAAGAAAAGTTCATTGTTGAAACCAAATAATGGCTATTTCATGTATGACTATTGATAATTATCCTGTGTAGGGAAGTGTGTTTCCCACCAATTTCTTAATAGCAATGCATTTTGTTTTATCAGAAATGCTGAGGCATAAGAACAATTTCAAATCTTCTTTAATGCCTAAATCTTCTTTAACAATATTCAAACTTAAATAAACTGAAGCATGATAAATATTCTACTAGGTTAGCCTAGTAATGGTGATCTGTGGCTGGGAGCCACACAAGTGAATGTTGCAGTTTTTTATTTGTTGGTGTGCCTAGAGTCATCAAAGCCTTTCTTGGCAACATACGTTAATCTTAACAAGTATAATGAGCATAAAACAGAGTAACTTGCATGACTGTACTTCAACATCATTTTCCTGCTTTCTTGGAAAGATACAGTTGCATTCTTTTGCAAGGGAAAAAATTATGCAGATTCTGCTTGCAGCTCACATTCCCTGTTAGAGCTAAATAGATTTTGAGATGAAAATAATTCTTGAACCACCACAACCAGACTTCTAAGTGGAAGATCAAAACAAAAACATAGTAATAATAACACTAGAAATGTTTTAAGGCAACTTGTGCTGCTTAGAATATGTTACATTTTCTGTAGAATTATAGTGCAGAAAAACTGTCTTGTTTTACAGTTTAATAACAAAAATATTTCTCATGAGGGGAGACCTTGTCAATAAAACAAATAATTGCAGTATTTGGGGGGAAAAATGAAAGACTGTCACTTTTTCTTTTTAGTCAGGAGACTTTCCAGATTACTTGGAAAAAGCAAAGCGATTTTTCTCAGCTCTTCTATCAGGTCTAGCAGTAAATGTGTTGCTGTAATGCACATATCATGCTTAAACAACATAGGATTGCATGCTACCTGAATGAGGCAGAAGCATAAAAAGAGTGAAGTGGGAATAGAGATTGTTCTTCTGTGGATTGCTAAACTGAGAAAGTTTTCTTTATCCGCTGTCATATCTCTGCCCTGAAAAAGATGTGGTTGCTTTATGGAGATTAAACCAAGAAAAGAGAGGCAAAGATGAACAGTGCTCTGAAAATATAATTCTCCTTTCCCAATCAAATGCAGATGCCCTTTGCCCAAATATCTGCCCTCTCCAAACTCCTTAACATTTTCCCAAAGAAACAGCCACTAGAAAAGCCTGCCTTAATCATGTGCTTCATTCCAAATAAGCTCTGTGGGGGGGCCTAGGATAGCTAACTTTTTCTGAGTTGCACCCGTAAGAGTTACATTTCCAATATGATTACCTTAAAAGATAGATAGTAATGTCCCAATATCAAGTTTAACTCATTTATTATGCTGTTTCCCAGGCTTATGGGTAAATGGAGTACTCATGCTGAGTTCGGTGATTTTTGCTGGCATCCTAGATTTTAATGCTAGCTTTTCAAAGAGATCTTTTATAGTCAATGCCATATTCTGAATCTGACGCTTTCTAGCTTTCCCTTCATTTGGAGGGGGACAAACATTTTAATCTGTTCCTAGTCACGAGGAATCCTTGCCTAACTGGAAATCTGAAGCCTCTGTACAGATTGGGAGTGATGATCAAACGCCAGCTGTAAACCATGCTTTGGACATGCACTGTCTACTGAGATTGATGTGGTGTTATGTCAGTTTCCTTCATGAATGTAATCATGGAAAAATCCAGAGCCATAATGATAAATATTAGAAGGAAAAGCAAGCACCAGCTTCAAAGTTGGAAGCACCAGTTTAATTTAATTTAATTTAAGATAAAAAATCTCACAACTCTATTTGTGTTATTTCCCCCATAATCAAATAATACTTGGTATCTGGACTGTATAGTTCTTTGGGATGTAGCCTTGACAAGAATGTAGGCAATGAGAGCAATGCAGTTTTACAATATAGTGAGGGAAGTGCAGGAAAACAACCAAAGATGTCTATTCATCTTTCTTGGTATACATAGCCCATGCTCCTGGAAGATGAACTTTGTCTCTTTGGTCATGTTTTCCTCTTTCCTGACATCTGTGTGGAGTAGCACAGCCTAAACCGTCAAGGAGAGCACAGTGGAAGAAGTGGTAGAACAAGGTCTGGAAAATGAGAATGCACCACTGCAGCCCATTACCTTTGAAGCACAGTTGATGAACACACATGCTATCACCTGATGAGAATCTGTGGCTTAGATGCAGATGTGCAGTGATCTATATATGATCTAAATGTATTTAAGTTCTACTGGTTACTTTCATGTAATACTTCTCCAACTGCTACACAGAGAGAGAGAGACAATTGGTTGGTTGGAAGGGCTTAAGTCTCTGGGTCTGCCCATAACTCACATCTATTAGTGAGAGAGAAACGTATGCAAAAGTTTGCTGATGCTTTCTACCTTTCTTGTGAAATACCCAGAGGGGCAAAGAGTCATGCATCTTCCTCATAGAGAGATTGGTGAGTTCCAGGTTTTGTGGACCATGCACTTCCCTGCAATGAGATGTTCAGGTTGCTGTTTTGCTTGTTGGAAAGAGAAAGACCAGAAACAGGGTTTGCAGGTCAGCCATGTTTTTCTCTCTAGAAAGTCTGTAACTTATGAAAATACTCAAGGAAACAAAAGTGTTGTATTCATATCCTAGAATGACTTCCCTTTTTAAAAAAAAAAAATCAGCATTGTGTTTCTGATTTGTTTTCATTTTGTAACCCTTTGTCTACTTTGTAACTTCTAAATCCTTTGCAATGCAACTTCTGCCTCATCAGATATCCTACTATCTTATACAGTACTGTATTTGTGGTAGAAATAGAGAAAGCTTCCATTATGGATAGTTGTATTTTCGGTAGGCAAAGCATTGCTGTGTTTAATCCTTGGAAGAAACACCAACAGTCTTACCCTCTCCTCTTGGTGCAGGCTTTTGATAAGAGCACAGAAACCAGTTTATGGTCTGCTGCTCGATATGAATCGTTACACTATTACAAGATGTTTACTGAGGCTGAAATTACATATTTTTATTTATTTATTAATTTAATTTAATTTAATTTAATTTAATTTAATTTAATTTAATTTAATTTAATTTAATTTAATTTAATTTATATGCCGCCCACACTACCCAAAGGTCTCTGTGTTCTAACCACCATTTGGAAATGTATCCCCCCCTCCACTTAGATTAATGCTTATTTCCAAAGTTTACAGAGATTGACTTTGTCTAGTTGCAATTTGGTGATCCACCTCCAGTCAGTTTGGGGAAGGTGCTGAATGCTAGAGGCTTCCTGGCTGATACTAACCTAAAGCTGGGAAAAGTTTCTCTTTTGGATTACAGTAATGATGGCCAGGGCTATTCTAGTGGAGGGCTCTTGGAGCTGCAGTCCAACCCCCCCCCCAAAAAAACCCTTTTTCCAGCTTTGTGGTGCCACAAGAAGTCTTCTAGTCCAGTCAAGCTGACAAATAGGGAAAGTGGTTCTTTCCCCAGTGCTTTGTCAGGTATTGTCGATTGAGTTAAAGTGTCATTGTGCACAGCCACTCTGGTACACACATACCTTTTTCCTTTTGAAAGAAAAGCATTGAGCAAATTGACATGGCTTTCTTCAGTCTCGCCACTTTCACAAGAGAGCAGAGAAGCATGTTGGTGGTGTGAATGTGCATCCACAGATTAGGTATCTTTTCCTCAAACATTCCCACATAGGCACAAGAAGATGAAGTGTGAAGAGAAATCCGTTTTCCAAGTGTGCTCAGTTATGGGTAAGCTACAAAAA